TATTGTATAATATTTATTTTTTATAAGGAATGTTTTTAATTCTTTCTTAAACTTTACAATGCTATTGATATTTTTAAAATGAGCAGGTAGACCGTTGTAAAGCCTCAGACTCATGTAGTACGGCGATCTTTCATACAGGCATAGCCGATGTCTTGGATACTGCAAATTATTTTTTAAACGTGTTTGGTATTGATGAATATATTGATTGTCTATAAATAATTGTGCATTACTCTTGAAGTATACCAGAATTTTATAAATGTAAAGTGAAGGCATTGTTAACATTCCATATGTTTCAAAAAGCGGTTTACATGACTTTTTTTTTGTGTAAATGATAAGATTCTTAAAAACTTCTTTTGTATCTTAAAAATAGTTGAATAACTATTAGATATTAAAATGTAACATTTTAAAATGTAACATGTTAAAATGTAACATATTAAAAACGTTATGAGTACTGGTATGAGTAAAAGTTTTTATGTCAGCTTGGTGGTTGAGTGATTATAGTACTGCTGTACTCGCCTTGTAATCAAAAGGTAGCTGGTTTAATTCTATGTTACTTTGTTTGTATTACCTGTCACTAGTTTGGTATTACTAATTTAATTAATCTTTGTCACAGGTGTACGAGGCTGCTGGGCTGGCCAATGCTAACAGTTTTTATCCGACAGTTCCCTGATGGCTAGAGTACCATTCTGGGGGAGAGAGGAGTTACCGTGTCTGGGGGCCAGACACAGGGGATACCTATCGCCCGCGCTCTACTGAAAATCCCATCCATCCTCATACTAGACGAGGCTACCAGGTCAGTTGCAAGGGAAAGACTTGATCGTAAAAAATGTTAAAATGTAACATGTAAAAATGTAACGTGTTAAAATGTTAATTTAATTAATTAATGTGACGACGACGACGACGACGACGACGACGCCGACGACGACGACGACGACGACGACGACGACGACGACGACGACGACGACGACGACGACGACGACGACGACGACGACGACGACGACGACGACGACGACGACGACGACGACGACGACGACGACTGGTATGAGCACAGTTTTTATCTCAGCTTGGTGGTTGAGTGATTATAGTACTGCTGTAGTCGCCTTGTAATCAGAAGGTAGCTGGTTTGATTCTATGTTACTTTGTTTGTATTACCTGTCACTAGTTTGGTATTACTAATTTAATTAATCTTTGTCACAGGTGTACGAGGCTGCTGGGCTGGCCAATGCTAACAGTTTTTATCCGACAGTTCCCTGATGGCTAGAGGACCATTCTGGGGGAGAGAGGAGTTACTGTGTCTGGGGGCCAGAAACAGAGGATAGCTATCGCCCGCACTCTACTGAAAATCCCATCCATCCTCATACTAGACGAGGCTACCAGGTCAGTTGCAAGGGAAAGACTTGATCGTAAAACATGTTAAAATGTAACATATTAAAATGTAACATGTTAAAATGTAACGTGTTAAAATGTAACATGTTAAAATGTAACATATAATAATAACTAGTGTACATATTGCTCGAATTCGAGCAATTCCAAAGTATTACAGGAGTTATTTAAAAACGAATAACAGTCATATTACAATGAGTTTAAAAGAGTCAACTCAAGGATTAGGTACCGGCGTGTAACTCAGAACACGATTATCTTCGTTATTGATAAACCTAAAGAATTCCGGCCGGTTTTCTCCTTCTCAAAATGCCTCGATGTACAGGCACCACAGGTCATTGATAGATGGCCAATTGAAAACGAAAAGTCGTTTTGGATTAGTGTTAGGGTGCATTTGTAACCTAATAGTTGAGATTGTCCAGGGTCAGGTGCTGACTGTGATGAGTTAAGCCTATTACGCGTTACTGTTCTGTAGCTGCGGTCGTTATCACGATTACGCCTCCTGTCTACGTTTCGTTGTTGTCACGTCAGAGGCATTTAAAAGAAAAAAAACAAAAAAAACAAATTATAGCTACACAAAACAACGATAAATGCAGACATTTAAGTTACAATCGTGCTAACACGATCCGTCGTAGCGGCACAAAACGACGATAAATACACAAATTTAAGATACAACCATACTAACACGATCCGTCTTGGGGGTTATGTTTACACAAACTCAAATAGTAAACATTGAATTGAAAAATAAATAACAGCAATTAAATTATACAGCTGATCAAAATGTAAACAATTATGTTCTTCATAAAGATAACATGGGAACTTTCTAAGCCACTGGGGCAGAGTCCAAGGGATTTTTCAGAAATATAAGGCCAGTTTGCAAATCTACGCGACACGCTCTTTCCAATGAGACATCAACGGATAAAATCGGTTAAGAAATGGCGGAGGAGTTCAACCGACAAAGTTTCATGTAGCGTATTAATTATATAGATAATAATAATAATAATATCACTTTATTGTCATAAAACATCTCACATGTCCAGCAAAGCTGGTGAAACAGATGACATTGTCATTTCTTAGCTAACAAAAATAAAAATTAAAACTAAGGATTAAAATTAAACTAGTCACTTTTTAAAAAAACAGTCATTTAAATACTCTTCTATTGTATAATATTTCTTTTTTATAAGGAATGTTTTTAATTCTTTCTTAAACTTTACAATGCTATTGATATTTTTAAAATGAGCAGGTAGACCGTTGTAAAGCCTCAGACTCATGTAGTACGGCGATCTTTCATACAGGCATAGCCGATGTCTTGGATACTGCAAATTATTTTTTGAACGTGTTTGGTATTGATGAATATATTGATTGTCTATGAATAATTGTGCATTACTCTTGAAGTATACCAGAATTTTATAAATGTAAAGTGAAGGCATTGTTAACATTCCATATGTTTCAAAAAGCGGTTTACATGACTTTTTTTCGTGTAAATGATAAGATTCTTAAAAACTTCTTTTGTATCTTAAAAATAGTTGAATAACTATTAGATATTAAAATGTGACATTTTAAAATGTGACATTTTAAAATGTAACATGTTAAAATGTAACATGTTAAAATGTAACATATTAAAAACGTTATGAGTACTGGTATGAGTAAAAGTTTTGTCACTAGTTTGGTATTACTAATTTAATTATCTATTGTACGGGTTGGTGTCTGCCTTTTTCACCCCTTTTGGCTATATTTTATCATATTATTCTAGACAGATCATCATAGGTTCATGAGATTATGGTCATACATGTTTTCAATCATTGGAAAAATCTTCGATTGTGTAATACAATACAAAATAATACAAGTGCAGAAGTGTCTTTTAGCTTTAACATTAACCACACAACCGATTTCTCAAAACTATACTAGAGGTAATTCATTGGCACAGACGTACGATATCCCCACAACCAATTTCTTAAAACTATACTAAAGGGTAATTCATTGGCACAGAAGTACGATATGAACTGATGCGACGTTACGAAGGAAAAATCAAACTTACACTGTGACGGATGGACCTCCCTTTCAAGTTAGAACGTGTCTCCTCAACAAGCAGATATTTTATCTCAAATAAAATCATAGATTAATCTTTATTACACTGATGAAATCGGGGAAGTTTTTAACTAAAAAAGATCCACCAATACGATTTTAATACTATTTAAAGGTTTTTCCAAAGTATGGGAAATATTTTATTCGTTGAATGATCAACCATATTTGGTAACTAACGCAATATTGATTTACACTTATTACTCTTTAAACAATGCTAAATGCTCAAAATATTTATAATTTCACTCAATTTATCGCAGTTAGATGAATTAGCATAAGCCTTGAAAGTAACCGTTGATTTCGACGGGTTTCACCTAGTTTATATAATAAATTGAAAGCTATAATTTTAATCTCTGAATTATTATACAACTTGCGATGAAAAAATAAGGATATTAGAACACCATTTTTATTCCTTATAAATTATATCCCTAGTTTCTTGAGCTGGGCCACACTCTCTATGTGGCTCACTAAACTATGTTCTTTTGGAGAAAAAATTGGCTATAGACATCCTATCTATATGGACCGGCTGTCGCCAATTTTTTACTAAAAAAGAATGTAGTTATGTGAGCCAGTCACAGAATGCGCTAGTGTCTAAAATTCTATTTTATACTTTATTTTTTGTTGCTGACCAAGTTTGTGGGTCATAACAGTTGCTATAGCTCACCATAAATCATTCCCTAAGTTTGACTTGGTAAAAAGGTTTGTGTACTCCACAGAATTTAGTAATATAGATCAGCGCAATCTGTAGGTGGCTCCATATCAACTACGAGAATTTTGATGAAAAAGCCGGCTACAAATTTAACATGGTGAAGGGTTAGCTACGCCTGATCCATATAAATGGGCTGGCTTTTTACAGTAGCTGTCCAAGTCAATGGTTGCAAATAGAGTTGCTTCATGGATACATATAATACATAGATATTTAAAAGTATGATATTTTACAAAATTTAAGTTACCTGTGTTGAGGACTCCAGCAAAAACCCAGCAATGGCTGTACTTAGCAGGTTTCTTGGAGCTGTAAAACTTCTGCAGGATCCGGACACTGCCCACCCACTTGGTGGGAGGAGTTCCTCGGACTCTAGCAAATTTATATAGCTCACATAAAAGTATTCTTAAGCGGCTTACACTTAAAAGTCAATGGTACTTTGCTTTGGTCTTTATTCTGTAACTTCACTTCAAATCCCAGTCTATAGTCTGTTGTTATTATCATGCAATCCAATTTACTGATTTGCAAGAAATGTAGTTTTGTAACTTAGGCTTTTTCATTGCCTACACAAGCAGCGCAAAAAGTACTGCAACGTAAAATGAAACATTATTGTCTAATTAATTATTTTTCACTTGTTTTAGGAAAAATATATTTTTTATCACTCCATACCGAAAGTAGCTATGATTAAGTGTTAATGGTCCTTGACCACTTGAAAAAAAGTAAACTGGCGGATCTTATGAATTTATTCTAAAAAAAAACTTTATCTATAGTCAAATAAATGGATGTTATAAAAGTTTAAGCTTAAAATATGATAAGGGTCAAATAAAACAGCAAATTATAAACAACATAACATATATTTCTCATAAATATTGTTACAGTACTCAAACTCGTTTGTTCTCCATCACATTCACCATCCTCCACTCCATGTATGTGTATTTAGAAATATAATTGTGGAAAAAGATTGGAGTTTTTTCCATACATTTTACAAGTTCATAGTCATTAGATTACAGAAAAAGCTTGGACTCAAAAAGATTGCAAGGCACATGAGACTGTGTAAGGCAAAAGTAGATTAAAAGCGTTGTGTTTTTATTAGGTTTTGTAAAAGCTTAGCTTTAACATGATGGTCATGGCAAAGTGAGGCCTCAAGTACAACAGAAACAGGTAGAAACTGGAGGCAACAGCAAACAACTGTCATGAACAACAACCGGCTTCACAAGGGTGACAAATTTATGTAACCTATTTGTGTTAACACTACCCATTGCTAACAGTTCATATCATACCCAAGGTATCAACATTCTGCTAGTCGCTGTGTAGTCAATTGTGAATAGAGCCACACACTTGAAGGCATTTGTGCCATAAATAGTTTAATGTATATAGAAACGTTTGACAGAAATTTTGACAATTTTGGCTTGAATATAAGTCAATGTTTTGGCATGCATTACAATAATTATTGTTAACTGATAACGTCTTAAATAATTTAAATAATCAAGCAACACAGGGATTAGCTTAAATATAAACATGGAAAGAAAAGAATAATATAGAACGAAAATGATGCACAGTTAGTTATTATGTCCCTTTTCCTTACCTATATAAAAAATAATTGGCCCGAATTTATCAATTTTTGGCATGTACACATTACATCTAATTACAATATCTTTTATTATTGAAAAGTGGATTATAACAGTTCTATAACTAAAGTGCTGTAATATGTACTGTACGTATTAACATAGTTAAGTCAATCTAATCAACAAAAGAACCAAGGTGCTGGAACATTATAGGCTACAAAAGCATGAGTTTGAGTACTATGTGAATAATCTAAAGAATAATTTTTGAAGTTCTTATAATAACAATAAAAAATGTATGGTTATTTACTATTGGCATCATAAATAATATGTATAATATAGTCATAAACGTAACAATACATATTTTATGTGATTAAAGGTGGCTACTATCTCATTCTAACTTATCATCATGGCTGGTTTTAACATTTTTGATAGATATTCATTATTTGTTAAACCCAGTGATCAAATGATTAAGATACGTAATGAATTGAGTGAAAGTAGCCTTTTAGTTTTCAATAATTTTAATATTTCCAAATTAAAACCACTTTGTATATTCCTATTTGTCTATTAAAGTCAAGATAACAACACATCAGATTTTGATATTCACATCAGATCACTTCCTACATACTTCTACCTAAGCTTACAACACTGAATATAAATAATCTAACACCGTCATTATTTCGGTGTCCTATCAAAAGAAATTTCAGCTTCATCGCTTCTACATCACAAAAATCCTCAGTAGTAAATAGACTAACTCTACAGGTACATGACTGTTCATCTAAAAATAGTTACTTTTAATCCACAAGCTAATCTAACAACGTATAGATTAAGTCTACTCGGTACCGTACACATTTTGGAGTTTAGCAAAGCAAAACGTGCGCGTAGGATCAAGATGGCAGTTACTGTAAGGTCTCTGATTAATGTGGGGTGGTATAAATGCTAGTCGGCTTATAGACATTTAATATACAGCTGTGTCTTTATTACAAACTGCTACCTAGCGAGAACGAGGATTACCAGTAATTCCATTACTGGCCGGTCTCGGAGCCGTTGCTGCGCTATGAGAGCTGTCGGCAGCCAGTTATTTGGATGTCTGGACGGGTACATCACCCACAGTGATGGAGAGCCTGCGTAGGTTAGGTTTGTCGTACTCTTCCATGCTGAGCCCTCGTGAGAAGCGCCGAGGTCGCTCCAGGTCGATGGAACCTCCGGAGAATGTCCTCTGTCTCTCCACACCAGGCAGAGTGACTGAGGTCAGCAGACCCTGACCCTTGGCGAACAACAGGATACTGTGGGCCACCTTGGCTGGCTGTGGACGAACAATGCGCTTCAAAACTAGTCCAGGCTATACATCTCTGGTTTTATGTTTAGCAAAAAGATGCCATTTCTTGCCTCTCAATTTTGATTCATTGATAATAACTACTATTTTATTTAGATTATAACTAGACATTTTAATCCCAAAAAAGTCACCATAATCAAAATAGACATAGTTGAATGTTGAGCCACTAATATACTAGTAAACTGATGTAAATTACCTAACTCTCTTAACTAGTAAACTTTTTAACCCCAATACAAAGGGAAAGATGACTTATTGTAAGCTATATCTTTTATTTGTGTCACATTAACTGTTTCAGTAAAAAATTAAATAGAGAAAACATAATTTTAGACTGTAGTGAACTCTTTGTGAGTGGCTCATTCAACTGGGTAATTTTTTTAAAACAGTTTTTGACTCTAAGTAACCAATTTACTTCATGGATGGATTTTACCATTATGTAATGGTATACCATTACTTTTAACTCAGTTAGTTATGGACTGAGAGTATGACTTCACATTTCTAATACTTACAGATTCATTCAGAACATCCCCAGCCCTCTCAATCCTCAGAAGGGTGGCTTTGTTCTTATCTAGGTCTTGGAACAGTTTCTCCACCACGTTCGCATAGGAGCTGAGTACTCCGGTTATCAGCAAGATGTCTGATTTATACTGCTTCAGAGGCAAATCTTTTCGACTGAAAAAAAAACAATCAAATTGTAATGAAACTAGAATGAATAATAAAATTAATTTCCCCACCTACTTGAATATCCTCCAGTCATGCTGCATCATATTTGTAAAATTTACTTTACTCATTTTACTTTCTCTCTCTATAAATGTAGCTGAGGCTACATTTAGTATGCTATATATGGAGAAATATTATTGTTTTCGTCACTATTTTTGAGTTTGAGTATTTTGTGGAGCCGTTTTCCCTGAACTCCAAAAAAATAGTTTTCGAAGTTATGTCTGTGTATGTGTGGATGTGTACAGAGCGTCCGATTTTTATGAAATGTGGTATGTGCACTAATCCATGGTACCTATATCTAGGTGTTATGTTATTGAATTTTCACAAGAGCCTCCCGAAAGGTTTTGATTAAAATTTAGTTTGTTATGGTCCTTTAAACCCTAAACAAAGCGGTATGATCGCCATATTTTGCTTTGAAAGTTACTGTTTAAAAGTTATTGTAATAACAGAAATAATAAGACATTTGAAAAAATTTTGCGACCACTTTTAGTTAAAATTTAGTATGTTATGGGCCTTATGATGGTAAAAAAAATGGTACCACACTGATTGCTGTAAAATTACAGTTCAAAAGTTATTGCAGTTTTTGTGATTTACCCCATAAAATATCATAGTTACTCCCACCGCTTACCCATGATAAAGATTGTTGACAAGCTAATGAGAGAAATTATGTGTCAGATTGCTGATACCGTTTATTATTACTGGAATGCTAATTAACAAAATAGTTTAATGTTCATGTGGGATAGTCTCAAGACCTGTCGGAGACACTCTAATGGCAACACTCCTCACCCCAACCCACATTTTTACAATATCATCTAAAACCAAATACTTATAGTCTTCGCCACCCTAACTTGAGGCAGCCCAAGGCCTCACTAGATAAACGGCGTGCGGCCATGGGCTGCCTCAAGTTATGGTGGCGAGGAATATAAAAAGTGCATACGTCTTATTCTCCCCAAAGCACCAAAACCATGACTCTCTCCTTCACAAAGTTTGTTGATTGAAGCCCCCTTTAATCACCATCACAACAGCTACCCAGTTCTTGGAAGCTACTCTCCCTCTCCCGCCCAAAAATGGTTAGATTTTGGCAAGAGTTTCTTTTCATTTTCCCTATGATTTTCAGCATGAAAACAACTGGAATTTCTTTTCATCTTCAGTATGAAAGCCACAACTGGAATGAACCTTTTTCAGAAGCGAAGGACTTCATTCAATGTTTTCGGTCTGTGGTAGGAAGATGATTGTGTTGGAAGTTTTAATGGGGGTACAGATGACTCGTTTTATGGGAGTAAAAACAACTCCAAGCTCTACAGCAGATAGTCCGCAGCTGCTTTACTGTGTTTCATGGAGAATTGTTTGGCCGACATAACTCATTTTGTAGCATGACTTCAAAGGCTTACTTTGCCTTACCTACCACTTTGGATTTAGCTCTGTGAAGGGATATCGGTACTTTCCTGTTAAAGGGAATATTCATTATTATCGATGATTTTTTCGAAATATCGATATTTTTGTTTTCCGATCCATTACAAATTGACAACTGATCTTGTTTAGGCTAAAATAGTCTATTATATGGATTAAGAAATGAAACTGTTCTAAGCTAACCAAACATAACCAACCAAACTTGATGTACTATTTGAAAATTACTTTTGATAACAGAAAAACAAGTTAAACACAGAATTTTTAAATGTAACACAGCAAGTTTGGTTAGTTATGTTAGGTTATTTTTTTGAACAGTTTTATTTCATTATTGTTTGTTGATACTGAACAAAATTTATCGTAGTTGCCAGCTGATATGTTTCAATTTGTTAATATCGATATATCGAGAGAAAAATCATCGATAATAATGAATGTTCCCTTTAACAGGAAAGTACCGGGATATCTATTACTCAACGTAGGCATATCCATTTGAACAAATTCACAATGGTAGTGACTATGGTGACTATAAAAGTCATATACAGTAGTTTTTTTTTTATGTATATATAATATAGTAAAACATAAAGGCATCAGTTAAATTCAAATACACCTAAGAACAAGAACAATAGAAAAGTATCATCAAATGTGGACCACAAAATATCTTACATTACACTAGAAGGTACATAACAAGTTTCTATCTAATTTATTCAAACAAAAATGTATAACTCGTTTTCATATAAGTGAACACACAGTATATTATAATGAAAATCATGGGGCAATATGCATTCTTCATAATGTTCAGTTTTTAATAGAACCAATACTCGATGGTTTTAAATATTGAAAGAATTAATTATGAGAATCAGGGCCACTTTAGTAAATGAGATTTTAGGATTGTTGGGGTGCAAGAAGGAGACAATCCCTTTGCAAGGATAGGATGGGGAAACACCACAAATGGTTGGATTAAGAAGTGTCAGTGGTTATAAAGTCTAGCTTTATACTAATTAGAGTGAGGGCACCAGGCACCAGTGAATGACCGTTAAAGCTTGAGTTTTTACTTGTATGTGCCTTTGAAAAGTATGCTAAGCTACAGTATAAAAAAAGTAAAAAAAAGAGTTTCAATTTATTTTCCATATTCTCCTGTACCTACTTCATAATAACAAAAATATATTGTGTTTAAAGAGAGTGTTGATTAAATACAATTTATCACATATTGAGCCAGTGAATAACCGTATATTTTTTGACATTTTAAAATATTGTCCATCTCTCTCTTCTTTTCGGAAAGATTCCCGTGTCGAAGTTAAACACCCTGTATATACAGGGTGGCTGAAAAGTAACTTACACCCCCCCCCCCCTTAACTTTTCAACCATTTGAAATATTTGAAATCTGTTTGCGGCAACCTTCTTAGATAGTAGGGGCTACAATAATTATGGTCAATTTAGAAAATTTTGCCCTTAGGGTAGTGGGGGTAGGGGGTAGGGTAGCTCAAAATTTTTAAATGACAAGTATAGTCGAGTTTGGTATCATTTTACAGGTCTTGAGGAAACATAAAAATCTAACATTAATGTTAGATTGGGTAAAAATGATTATTGACACTTTCTTTTTGAACCAGTGACAGGGCGGATTCCATTTAGGCTCCAAAGTTACTTTTAAGATCGTTCGTGATAAACTAGGAAAGACAAAAAGCCTCATATAATGTTTTGGTCATTCACTGTGCACTCACCCTACAGATATAAAATTTCTTACTTGAGGAATGCATTTACATAAAGGCGAACATTGCTGGCGTTGATGGTGCCCCTCAGCTTGTGAAGGAAGTCAGAAATCACCTTATCTTTATCTGTGTTGGTTTCATTCATCAATTGCTGAAAAAATAATTTTTGTAGTTAGTAATATGATAAATAATTACGTAATGGGGTGCTTTTATGATATCAGACTATAATCTATAACACTAAATATTATTTCATTTTATTGTTTTCTATTTATTATTGTCATTTTTTAGAAAAATATTCACCAAAACATTCAAATATTGAAGTATTGATGTTTTTCCTACATTGGTTTCCAATAAAATTTATGAAATTGGCTTTATCAAACCTAAAATTATACTATCCACAAAATAATTTTAAATCAGTGCATTATAAAATGTGTATAGTAATAGGTATTTAGGTTTGAAACAACATAGCTGTTGTATTTTAGTAACATTAGGTTGGAACAAGATTTTCGCTGGTAGAAAGTAGGACTTAAATAATTAAAAAACCGTATTCACATTTAAAACAAAAGGATTTTAAAATATCCTCATACCACTAACCTTAGCTCATTAATTTAAATAGAAAGTATTGCTTGTGTTGTAGAATATGAATCGTAACTTAAGGTCATTTTTACACCAATTCATGCCATTATATTTTGTCAAGGCAATAAAACATAATATTTAAAAAAAATTCACATAAGTTTATAATCTATTTATAATGATAATTTCATTCTTGCCTATATCTTAAAAGCATGATTTATTATCAATATGAATGAGAAGCAATGCACTAGAGCAAAGCAGTTATGACCAAATATTACAAGAAAGTTGACTATGATGTAGTATGTATTTTATTTGCTCATGAAGAAATTCAATAATGAGAATAAATAATGGAATACCTTCTAACTTACAAAGTTCTTAATTTTTTCAGCTCAATTTAGTTTATACTAAACACAGTTTTATCTTAAAACCGTTGTTAGCATTGGTACTCTGATTGGCAGGAGGGCAGGTATGGGGGGCGGGGGTTAAAGGATGTTAAAGTTGATCTTGGCACATGTATGGTAAAGCACTAAGCTCTCTACAGCGATTGCGGAAGCGTAAAAAAAGTTAAAACTGATTACCTCAGCCAGCATCTGTAAGGTTGGTCATGGTCAGGGAATCAGGTGGCCAAAAACACACACAGTTTATAACATTATATCAATCATAACTACCTGTTACTACATGGGTACAATAATTGTGCTCTTTGTACAGTTTATAAAATATCAAAATAAAAATTAAAATCCATTTTTAGCCCCTGAGCTGTGATATTAATTAATACCTATTTTTAATTAATATCAAAATAACATGATTAATTTGAAATGTTTACGTTTCCTTTGAATATACTTTAAGTTTTGTGTAGGAATTAATGCTGCATATTTAATGTACCTCTAAAGGGACACAGGTTCAAATCCTCAAGTTGGCACACAGATTGTGCAGGGGTTAGCGACTATGTTTTAAAATCACCCAAAGAACTTAATTATCTGGTTGATATGGTGATAATCATTGTGCCATTTAAATAGATGACATTATTTTCAATAAAACTTCCTAATAATCTTGAACAAACTAAATAATTGAGACAAGGATGCTTATTCTTAAATAATACCTAATAAGTTTGAAGAGTGTACAGTTGGTTCACTCAAGAAGGAAATGCTACAGGTTTTATTGGAACTGATTTGTTTTGAAGCCTTTCCTCTAGCTGAAAAGTCTATAAGAGCCATATTACCATTTTTTGTTTGACTCAAAAATGTGTGAACAAATTAAGAGTAGGATCTAAAGGTGAAAAAGGCTATAAAGGTTTGGTTAACTACTCTAATTAAAACTTCAGTAGATTTAAAAGAACAAATTGTATACAATATTTTGCCAAAGTTCAAGAAGAAATTCTACTCCTTTGAAACACTAATAGTGCCTTTTGACAAATTTTACATGAGCTAAACCTTGTTTACATTTGTAACAAGCAACTCTTAGAATACAAAAATGGATACAGCATTGTTAGTTTTGAGTTATTACAAAGACAGGCATTGGTTGCTTAACCTTCACAACCACACGTTCCTATGATTTTCACAAACAAAATTCAAATAAGTCTTGGTTAAATGAAGTGTTGTTAGGTACTGGCTTTGTTGTACAGTGAATTTACCACTACAACACAATACATCATCATTCTCTGCTTTAGGACACTACTTTAGCTACAGTAATGGGACTGCAGTAGTTTTTATATGATTAGACTACTTTGATTATACACACAATTAATCCATAAATTGTTGCGAGTGCATAACTTGTATTAATATTATAGGAATGTCAATATCAAAAGGAAATGTAAAAGAAATTAGGAGAAATATTTTTGAGCAATATGTCTATAAATCATTAAAATAATTTTTAAATTTTAAACAAGTTTGTTCTTTTTCCTTGTTTGGATGAAATGTTTTGTATTAAAAAATGTCTTGAAATTTCATATTGCTATTTGTTATTTGCATTTCTTTTCCTTAAAGCAAAGAATATTATTTAGCAAAGCCATTATCATTTGACATTAGTTATGAAACAGACAAAGACAAGCATTGAGTTATGTGTGGTATTGTTATAAAATTGTCAGTGCCAATGAAAATGGTAACCTGCGTAAAAAAAAACTGCATAGTTAATACACTGTATGTTAACTATTTTTACAGGGTCTAAAGTATTAATAATTATTATAAAGGCCCAGGACTGAGGATTGTATTACAATTTTGTAAATCTACAAAACTTATAGCCAATATGGTAATTTTTTAACTTAATAAAGTATGTACTGTATTTATAAAGCAAAAAATAGTTTTGTGCATGGATTCTAGGAAAGAAAAAAAATTACTTTCATTTTTACTGTCTGCATTGAGGTAAAGTCCATTTGACTTTAACTCACAGTTTTCAAGTTCATGGATACTTTTGGGTTGATTTATAGATGAATAAATATTAATCTCAGAGATATTGATCCAAACGTGTAGTGCTACTGGAAGGAACACACTAAAACAGTTTCACAAATTTAAAAATATACATGACTAGAACAACCGTGCAATCCACACATGCACATTTAGTACAGGGAAACATTGAACACTTCACAACACTGAGATTTAAATCTGCGAATGTAAGTCAAATTATTGTTTCTAGTACTCTTTACTTACATGACCAAACTTGTGGAATACAAGATAGTCCTCTGCTGACTGGGACACTGAACCTTTCCCTTTCCAGTTAACAAACTGTAAAAACAAACAAGTCTTAAACATCTCCAAAATTATTTTATAAAATAATTGTTTCTTGTGTCAGATTTTGTAATCATAACATATATTTTTAGTTTGATATGAGGCACAATTTTGAATTGTCAGATCATTTTGTTTAGAATTTTGCTTATCAATTGATGCTCAAACCATGTTTAAAAAATTTAAGTTTTGTTATATTAATTTTGACCTCTATAAAAATTAAATCCTTCCTGCATCTCAATAAAAGTGGGATTAAAAATTTATTGTCATTAACAATAGAAAATAATGAGAAAAAACCATTGTTCTCCTTTCTAAATATCTCATCATGTTGACTATGGTATATACCCTCTTCACAGCAGGCCTGCAGACTAGGCAATTTTTATTTGCCTGATTACATTTTTACTAAAACATTTTCGGTACTTTGGTATTATACACATATTTTACAGCACGCTGCGGTGGTAATGTTAGGTTGGGTTATCATAGCACCAATTTAGGACGTTTTTATGACTTTTCTTGTTTCGTAATGAATCGAACGATACCAGATGAGTCTTACTTTCTAACCCAAACTAACATAACCACCGCAGCGTGCTGTATAAGGTTGGCCTTCGTATAATACCAAAGTACCACATTTTCTAAGCTCTATTCCCTCTGTTATTCAAACAACGTAACAGTACTTGGGGTTCCTGTTGCAGGGAAATCAAGTGTTTTTCTTTACTAAAATGTTCGTTGTTTGATTTTAAATAAACAAATATATAATACAAATTAGTTCAAAGCATATCAGTTCACTTATTCTTCGTAAAATAATAACAAATTTTAAAGTTGACAATTTGTTTTTAATTTTTGTTTGTATCCATTATTCACACATCAATGCTTCACTACACAAAATTATCACTTTGAAAGCTATAAATGTAGTCACTTACTAATGGGTTTAGATAGAAAACTACAATTTGTTCAGGAAAGTTTTGAAATTCTTTGACATTTAGCAGACAATACCTTGGCCTTGAAGTTGTCTTTGACAGTGGTGGCTGAGCCTGTACAGTTGATTAGGATGAGTCCCAGGGTACGGGCGGGGTGGGCCAGGCCAAACCTAGCCAGTACATTGGCTCCAGCTCCCTCCCCCAGGCCTATCACGTACTTCACTTTGATGAAGTCTAATATCGTCACCAAGTCTTCACCGAGCGTCTGCAAGCTCGGGAACTGGTACCTAACAGACACAACATCTAGATAAAACTACCACATAAAGAGCAAATATCTTGGGAACCTCATTAGATGCTCCGCTAGCCTTGAAAGTTTTTAATTGGTTGTTGGATGTAATTGATATAGTTTGAAGATTGCAATGAAAGAGACTATAAAAGTATATCTAGCCTGTTGTCTTTTAACAAAAAGAAAACAATTCAACAATATTCGATAAATGTATAATAATTTGGCCCAACTGCATTTTTGGTTAAACAACAAATCGGTTCGACAAGTACTTGATTCCGGTACCTCATTAGCAATTAATTCTAAACAATGTTAAATATTTTTTTGGCCCCTTAAAGTAACCTGGTCATACATTTTATTTGAAAACTTAAAATTATCCACGTATCTCTTACCATGATTAAACAAATAAAGGTGTACAAATTTATTGAAGTCATAATGTTTGCTTGTTTAGTTAGATGCCAAGATTATAGGTGACGATAAGGTTTACATAGTTCAGCGTAAATATAAACTCACGTGGCTATTTTCTGGATGACTAAAACATTACTAGGCCAAAAGGCACAATGGTATAATATGTGTTAAATGACTAAATACGCAATGCTCTTTGCTCACGTACGATTCAGGCAGAGGATCAGCATTGTCCTCATGCCCAGGAACATCCACATGTATGAATATAGACCTCTCCTTGATGTCACTCATGCATGGCTTGTTGATGAAGTCTTCAAACGAGTAATCTGCGAACAAAACACAATAGTATTATCTCTAGAATAAAACATGCTAGCACTATGTAATTGAAAACACACACTACTTGGTTATAAGGTGTATACAAATGACCTGGAACGATTTTGTGTGTTTGTTTCTCAGGTTAAAACAATAAAACGTATTTATAATATGAGTCTAAAAAATCGTGGTTTTCTGGCTGTCCGTCTCTATGGGATTTTTACAAACGTATCCATAACATTCTGAACCTCTTAAATAATTGACTTCAAGTTTAGTACATATAAGTAGTGACAAATAGGAACAACCTTCTAACAAAGTATCAAGTTTCGAAGTTTTACCAATAAAAAATGGTGGCCAATTAAAATACCAGATAAACAAAAACCTGTGGCTATTCATGCGAGAGAGCATTCTCAAAATTTTCAACAATGTTATTCATTGATAAGAAAATTGGCAAAAGACGCATCAGACTTAAAATTTAGACACCTTGAGCAAGCTCATCAATTAATACTTAAATCTAAAACACCTTCCGGTCTCAATTTGAGATAGTATATAAAACATATTTTTTTCTTTCTATCAACATTTTCTTTTTTACTTCTTTATAAATTATATGTATTTTGGATTTTTACTAAAACAATCTGATTCAGAGTGGTAAACACTTATATTTGTTATTGTTTGTTCCTGAAGAAGGCTTATGCCGAAATATAGAGCTTATTTAAAAAGTGTGTGAGTAGTGAGGATTTGCGGTTACTGGCACAAAAGGGTACCAAACATTGTTAGGTATGACATACCCAGCATGCTATGTATAAGGGGACTCCTTATGTCATGTGGACGGAGGTATATGTCAGAGACATATGTCGGAAGTATATGTCAGAGACATATGTCGGAGGTATATGTCAGAGACATATGTCAGAGACATATGTCGGAGGTATATGTCAGAGACATATGTCGGAGGTATATGTCAGAGACATATGTCGGAGGTATATGTCAGAGACATATGTCGGAGGTATATGTCAGAGACATATGTTGGAGGTATATGTCAGAGACATATGTCAGAGACATATGTCGGAGGTATATGTCAGAGACATATGTCGGAGGTATATGTCAGAGACATATGTCAGAGGTATATGTCAGAGACATATGTCAGAGACATATGTCAGAGGTATATGTCAGAGACATATGTCGGAGGTATATATCAGAGACATATGTCAGAGACATATGTCAGAGGTATATGTCAGAGACATATGTCGGAGGTATATGTCAGACACATATGTCGGAGGTATAAGGGTACTCCTCATGTTTACTATAGGGGACATATGTCAGAGACATATGTCGGAGGTACCCTCTACCGCTACTGGCACAAGCGGGGCTATAGCGGTTATATTTGGCCGAAAATTTTAAAAGTGGTCGTCGCTACTGGCACAAGTCCCCTGAAAATGACACCGCTACTGGCACAAGTCCGAAAAAGACACTACGGCTTCTGGCACAAGGTCACGTGACCTTATGACGTCACAATAATCGATAATCAACCCAATAATCTTTAATTGATAATCGATAATCAATCAATAATCTTTAATTGATAATCGATAATCAATCAATAATCTTTAATTGATAATCGATAATCAATCAATAATCTTTAATTGATAATCGATAATCAATCGATAATCTTTAATTTATAATCGATAATCGATAGTTAATAATCGATTATCGATAATCAATTGATAATTTTTATTTGATAATCTATCATTAATCTTTAATTGATGATGAACAATTTTTGCTCAAAGAAATAACTATTATCTTATGTATACTGCAAGATGAACAGGGTTGTACCCTCAACAAGTTAGTCATTTAATTTTCAATTGTAATCAATAATCAATAACAAATAATGCAATAAATTTTATAAGATATTAATAATGTGTACATAGCAAAAAATAACATGTTTAATTAAGTAAATGATTTTTAAACAATATTGTTATAACTCATTCAATTGATTGATTATAATTAATAGTTGTTTATATGATAGCTAGGTTTTACTCAAAGAAATTTTAACATAATACTGTTAACATATACAACGGTGTAAAACGTAATATGAACATGTTTGTTATCCCACCAATAGATTAGTTATTTTTATTTTCAATTATAATCAATAGTTGTTCATATGATGATCAAGTTTCTCTCAAAGAAATATTTACCATAATAATCTTTAATAGTGAACAAAAAGTTATAGCTTATTAGTGCTAACATAAGTATAGTTTTTAACGTAAAACTAATGTGATTAATTATATACCAATAAGTTAGTCATTTGAATTTACTATATTAATCTTTAATAGTGAACCAAAAGTTATAGCTTATTACTACTAACAAAAGTATAGTTTTAACGTAAAACCAATGTAATTAATTATATACCAATGAGTTAGTCATTTAAATTTAATCATTAAGTTTTTCTCAAAGAAATATTTATTAAATTGATCTTCAATATTTATAGTTTATTAGTGCTAACACTATTACAGTTGTTGATGCAAAGTTGCTTGACTAACCGATGCAATTAATTATATATCAACACTCGATTGATTATAATCAATAGCTGTTTATATATTGTCTAACATATTTTATACTACGTGTTTAATATAACACTTCTATGTATGTCATGCCTAACATGTTATAGTTAACATATATAAAATGATATAAATCATAAGATGATCATGCTTGTTATACCTCAATGAATTAGTCATTTGCATGGAAAAGAGTTACCTAAGAAAGCTGTATTAGTTGAACCTTAGACGCAGTTGCCTGTAATTAACACAATCAACAATTTCCTCACTGGTGTAGGACGCGACAAATAATTATCACATAAGCTCAGTCTATGTCACCATCCTTGTTTTCAATTAATTAAAGTTTACTTTGTTTCATTGTGGACTACTGTTGTCAGTTTAACCGCTGTACACCATCCAGTCAAAAATGAGTTAGTTATTTGAATTTGATATTTAAGTTTCTCTCGAAAATAAATATTAACCATATTAATCTCCAATAGTTATAGTTTATTAGTACTAACATAAGTACAGTTTTTTAACGTAAAGTCTTGTGACTAACCAAAGCAATTAATTATATATCAGCATTTTAATTGATTATAATCAATCAATAGTTATTTATGTAATGTTCAAGTTTTATTCAAAGAAATGTCTAACATGAAACAGTTATCAGATACAATGGTGTAAACTGTAAGATAAATATGTTTGTTACCCTAATAAGCTAATCATTTTGATTTTTTCAATTATAATTAATACTCGTTTATAAGATGTTTAAGTTTTACTCAAAGAAATACCTAACGTGTTATGCATATCGTCTGAAAAATGGTTATATTATATAACGTGATATACTAGTGCTAACACAAGTACAGTTTTTGACGCAAAGTCATGTGCCTAACTGATGCAATTAATTATATATCAACACCATGTGCCACGTCTAACATGTTATAATTAACACATACGACGATATAAATCGTAAGATGAACATGTTTATTATACCTCAATGAGCTAGTTATTTGTATGGCAATTATAATCAATTGTTGTTCATACGATACTTAAGTTTCTCTTCAATTGTTAATCAATAGTTATAGTTTATTAGTGCTAACACAACTAGAGGTTTTTGACGTAAAGTCACGCGACTAACCAATGCAATATATGAACATTCGATTGATTATAGTCAATAAATAGTTGTTTATATAATGTCTAACATATTTTGTACTATGTGTATCACGTCTAACATACAACGATGTAAATCATATGATAAAGATTCTTGTTATACCTCAATGAGCTAGTCATTTTGAATTTCAATTATAATCAACTAAAAATTAATCAATAGTTATAGCTTTTTAGTACTAACACAAGTATAGTTTTTAACGTAAGGTCACTTGACTAACCAATATAATGAATTATATACCAATGAGTTAGTCATTTGAATTTGATGGTTAAGTTTCTCTCAAAACGAAATATTAACCATATTATTCTTCAATAGTTAACCAAAAGTTATAGTTTATTAGTACTAATACAAGTATAGTTTTGACGTAAAGTCATGCGACTAACCGATGCAACTAATTATATATCAACACTCGATTGATTATAATCAATCAATAGCTGTTTATATAATGTCAAGTTTTACTCAAAGAAATGTCTAACATGATACAGTTAACATATACAATTGTGTAAAACGTAAGATGAATATGTTTATATGTCTAATATATCACTCTTATGTATGTCATGTCTAACATATTATAGTTAACATATACAACGATGTACATCGTAAGATCAACATGTTTGTTATACCTCAATGAGCTAATCCTTTAAATTTCAATTATAATCAAACAATAGTTGTTTATATAATAATTAAGTTTTACTTAAAGAATCAATAGTTGTTTATATAATGTCTAACATATTTTGTACTATGTGTTTAATATTGCACTTCTATGTGTGTCACGCCTAACATGTTATAGTTAACATAAACAACGATGTAAATCGTAAGATAAAGATGCTTGTTATACCTCAATGAGCTAGTAATTTTGAATTTTCAATTATAGTTATTCATATGATGGTAAAGTTTCTTTCAAAGAAATATTTACTATAATAATTTTTTAAGAGTTAATCAAAAGTTGTAGCTTATTAGTGCTAACACAAGTACAGTTTTTTAACGTAAAGCCACGTGACTAACCGATGTAATTAATTATATATCAACAGTCGATTGATTATAATCAATCAATAGTTGTTTATATAATGTCAAGTTTTACTCAAGGAAATGTCTAACATGATACAGTTAACATATACAATTGTGTAAAACGTAAGATGAATATGTTTATATGTCTAATATATCACTCTTATGTATGTCATGTCTAACATATTATAGTTAACATATACAACGATGTACATCGTAAGATCAACATGTTTGTTATACCTCAATGAGCTAATCATTTAAATTTCAATTATAATCAAACAATAGTTGTTTATATAATAGTTAAGTTTTACTT